TATGTTATGGATGCTATAATTCCATGCATTGGGAGCATCATTGTTACGTTATCATATCGATACATATCCATACCCTCCTGTAATCACGGTATTCCGTTCCGTCATGACCTTGGCCAAACCGCGTTGCAACCGCAGTGCAAGCAAAAATCTTTAGTGACAGGTTAGGTCCGCTTGCTTCTTTCTAAAAATTTTTGGTCTAATTAAATTCTAATCGGTTACCATTTTAACCGCAATTTGAAGGACTTGTGTTGCAGCGTTCACAATTTGTCTCTAATAATTATTGATTGCGCGCGGATGTGACGCGTTTTGGCGGGTAGGGGAGGTGGAGAAATGAATCCGAAGAAGTATAAACGCTGATCACACTTCGACTAGCAATACAAACAGATGGTTAATTACGCACAATACTCAAAGTTCAACTTCGGAATTGGCTTCCGAACTTTCACAACGTTAGGACTAGATCACAAATGCATATTTACATATAAATAACAGTATAAATCTCAAGATCTAACAAAATAGCAAACTGCATTTGTGTCTTTTGCCAATCCGGTGGAATCACACGTCTCTTTTTACTCCTTTTTGAGATTCTTATTGTCTCCTCCTCGATTATCGTTCTTCTCGCTGTGCTTCTTTGACATTCGTTCACTTCCTTCTTTTTCTGAAAATGTCGAAGAGTGGAGCAATGCTGCAGGATCCAAACGCTCACTGGTTGTTTTTGAACTTCCACTGTTGCTTTTAACTGAACCTGAAAAAGCAGTAGAAGACAAAAAAGCCATTTCAAATTTCATTACTCACTCTCATCAGAGATACGGCGCTTATCCTGGTCTTCTTCTTCAATCACAGGCAGCTCATCCACAAACCAGCATACATTAGTCACTGGTGAAACAGGCTAGAATATCATCCTACATCCTCAAGCCTATCCTGAAATCAAAAAGCACAACTCACCGATTTTGGTCCATCAGGGCTGTCAAGGTTTATTTTCAAACCGTTCGGAACAGATCTGCTGTTGCCAAGAATACCCTGTGGTTGTAGATTAGGAGGAGAGACGTTATTATGGAAACTCTGGCCATACTCTTCCAACGATGACGAACTACTAGAGCTGAAAATATGAATTATATCTAATCTAGGACCGTATATATCTAATCAGAACACTATTTCACTCTTGAACCGCTAATCGAACTGAAACAAATTATGTAACTGCTTGCACGGGGGAAAACTGTCGGTTTAAAAAACATTAACTTTCGTCGAAAACAGGCTTTTGAAATGTAGATCTATTGAATGTAATCAAACTACCAGGAATGACAATTGTTTTGATGAATCGTGATTACAACTACTTCAAAATGCCAGTAAAAAATTTAATTTCAAATTTTTTGAAGCAATTCAGACAGATAACACCGTATTTGTATAAATTTTCCTTTCCACTTACTTCGATTTAACATCCAGAACATGAGGATGACTGACGTTGGCGCGACTGATTTTTTTAGCTGGCCGAGATCCGTTTAGG